TTTTTTTTTTTTGTTGACAACTGTAAATTAGTTGATTTTTGCTTAAACAGTGATTATTTAATTTGTTCTGCAACTGAATCCAATTTGCTACTGTTGTCATTTTAACCAGTGTATAAGTTAATTTTGTTCTAGACACTTTTTCTTTTTTTGTTGTACTAATTTATGGTATTTTCAAATTTATGCAGAAAATTTTGAAACTATTAGACAACTGTAACAGAGAAAAAGACTATCTTTTTTCTTTTTTTTTGCTTATTTGATATTTACTTGTCATTTTTTGCTCTTTTTTTTTCTTTTTTTTCACCGATTGTTTCGGTAATGTTCACAGAAAGAGTATTAATATGTCAACTGCAAAAAGCTACTTTTTTTTTTCATTTTTATAAGCTGCTTGAAACATTTATTTGATCAATCTTTAGTGTATGTGCATTATTTAGTGACTTAAGAAAGCTAGACAATAAAAAAAAAACTAACTTCTAGCTTGTTGTAATTTACTTTAACACTTAATGTATCGTTTGTTTTAGCAGCTTAGCAGAATGACTGTTGTTGGCACACAGTCACTTTTCTTACCTGCTCAGAATTTGCTTAGATAATTAAAAGATTTGCAAAAGAAGATTGCATAAAAGTGACTAAAATTTAATGTGGAAAAATCTGCTGCCATACAAGCGCTTGATCAGTAATTATTCTAAGTATCAAGAATAAAAAAACTGCTATAAATTGCGAAAAATCTGAAAGTTTGTTTATTGAATTAAAGAGGTAAAAATAGAAAGTTTAATGCAGTTAGTCAACTTTTTTCTTTTTTTTTTTTTTTTCAACGTAATACAGTTTTATTATCAGAATTTAGAAGATGAATGTTTTTGGTGGATGTTTTTGGAGAAGTTTGACAATCAAATATTCTGCCATGTCAATGCCGATATTCAGCAAAATAAAACTTTGTTCTAAGACAAAATTGCTCTTTCCGTCTACCACACAATCTCTCTTTTCTTTCTCTCTTTCTTGCCTACTCTCTTTCTCTCTCCCTCTTTTTCTCTCTTTATCCTTCTATCGTGTTTTTTCTTTGTAGTGATACAGTTGAAGGTTAAAATACAGATAAATTTAATGCTGTGTAATTTGTATTTATTATACCGAAACTTTTTTTAGTTCTTTATTGAGAACAAAACTGTGTCTATCAAATGCTACTTTTCGATTTTTGATTTTTTAATTTATTGGTCTTTTTTCTATCTGATTACAAAAAAAAAAAGAGAAAGTTTTCTTGAACAGACAAAGTCTTTATTTTTTTTTTTTTTAGAGTAAGGAGGCAGAAGAAAAAAACCAATTTTAGTAGACGGTGAACTAAAGATCAATGTAGTTTACTTATAAGTTTCCTGTGTTTTAATTTTATTGTTCTCAATTATTCGTCAGCTAATTTTTTGAAGCCAACTGTTTGATAACAATCACTGAAAACGATACCTTTAATGCAGCTAAAAATAATGATAACAACCCTTAGATCAGTGTAGCCTAAATTTATATCATAAATTGATGCTTCTTTAAACAAAAAACAAAT